AGACCCAATACTATTATGGACTACTGGACTCTTTTAGAATATTTTGCTGAGTTAACACACCTATAATATTCAAATAACGGAACTAAACAAAAAAGGGGATACAGATGAATGTCCATTTTGTATCTGTGTATTCAAAATGGTTAGGATAGAGGTATAGTTACATTGTCTTAATGAATAGTGGGATTTGTTCTATTAGTGTTTGTAAATAGGATATCATGTCCGCATCTTGTACAGCAATTAACCACTAGGAAGAATGCATGCAATGTGTTAATTATTGAAACTGTCCTACAAATTTGGTTTGAAACTGTCTCATTGCTCTTTGTTTCTCAATGAAATTATGGGAAAAATGTATACTCATAATTGAAGTAAACCAGACACACATGTGTAAATATCGTATAATTTCCCTCGTATAAGAACTCGAAAGAAGAAATACAAATACAAAGGTATTATATAAGTAAGAGGAAAGCAAGAACTCGAGGACTAACTAATTTAGAGAGGGAAAGGAGAAGATCTAGGAAACATGACAGTGACAAGCCATACAGTTATTTATAGAAGATGGGCAAGGCAACGATCCTGAGAATCTTCAGAAGATTTTTGAATCTAGCAGTTAATTGGAAAGATTCTCACCCTGACTAACTATATATACTGACACCTTTGAACTAAGCAACTGCACTGAAGATGGGAATTTGTAATAGTAGGTTCATGCTTGGAGTGCCTGTCTTTCTGGTCTTCTGAATACGGGCTGCTTGTCATGACATGCCAGTTGCTGCTATGATGTCTCTTGAGTAGATGATTGTTCAAAAAGAGGGGGGTGGTGAATGGAGGCAGGAGACAGGAAAAGGAATGTTGTGAGACTGTCCTGCTTCAATGTTGTATATGGTTATATTTCTGGACTTACATGTAAACATAAGAATTACATAATTCTTTATGCCCATTTTTAAAATATATTCTAATTTTTGAATGTTTTTTTCATCATATTCTGTAGGGACTTAAAGTTCAACATATCAATACTTGATGAAAAATACCTGTTTCATTTTATGCCTAAGATGTTTGATATTCAGACAGATAGTGAGGTTAAACTTAACAGCCTAGGTTGTATGGTAGTAACAATAAGCTTCTCTTCTGGAGGGTTAACAACCTAAGTTTGCAGACCAAAATTAGAGAAAAAGCCTGGCTATGAGGAAAGCCAACATTTTGGCCCTAGCTTTCCAAGGTCAATTAAGACTCAGGACATATGAGAACTTGTACTGTAA